CACTGTTGCCCACACTAAACCGTTTACTATAATTTAAAAAATAAAATAAAAATATCCCTTTTTTCATACCCCATATACCATATATGTATGTTCACGTATTTTTCTTAACAAACCATCTTGCAGAGAACTTATTCAATTTGCAAAAGCTGGAAAAAAAACATTTGCTTGTAAATAAATTCGAAATTTGTATGACTCACTTAATTTCAAACGTTTTTTCTTTTGTTTTGAAAAATTTTAAGAATTAAATTGAGCGAAAACAAAAAGCAAAGCCAAATAAAAGTGAAAGAATCAACATCGAACTGCGTCAAAATGAAAATAAGGGAGTTGTGAAGCAAAACTCTCTAGGAAGACAATACCTGGAATTATTGTACCATGGTTTGAAACCTACTTTTTTATTTAAAGTGGCGTTTTTATTTTTTCTCTCTGACCGCAGGATTTATTTTGAAGGACTTTGTAATTTCAAAGATATGATTAATTCAAAAAAATTTTTAAAAATTCAATGCAATATAGAAAAAAAATATGGGTAACAAATCAATAGGAAATTTTTTTAGAATTTTAAAAATTTTAATTTTTTGGATCCACCAGGATGAATAGGTAATTTTTAAGCTGGCAAAGTTAGAAGAACGAAATTCGAACAAATATTGCGAAATTTCAAGGATAAAATTTTAAGATTACATTTTCACTATCTACGAGCCCTTCTGCACTAGAAACTTGAATATGTTTTAATTCTACAGGACTTCCTAATTAATTTTATACCCATATTTCTTCTCTAAGCACATTTCTCTGAATTTTTTTAATCATTTTTGAATTACTGACGTCTGAGTGAAAAACTAAAAACGCAATTTTACTATATTTGGCCCATGGTTTCGCGAATATATTGATACTTGTGTTTAAAACTTACTAACGCGCGGTGTTATACATATGTACAATGAGGTAGACATTTATAAAAAAATATTAATTATTAAATAAAAAAGGAATATAGCCAATACTGGTCAAGAAAAGTAGTTTCTGTTATTGCCTTCAGTGCAAATTACAAATCCCGAAAATCCCAAGATTACTTGCCAAGAATCCCGGGATTTTCGAGGCCGTAAAAAGTCGGGCAACCCGGAATCCATAGGCAACTGGCAGAGCCAGTGGGATCGTCGCACACTGTGCCCTTTTTCAATTTAAGCGTGCCAAAAGTCCAAAATAAAATGATTTCAGATGGCCGTGATTTTTGGCATTCTGGTTGACAAATATTCGGCTGCTAAGTCCATCTAATAAATTCATAAGAAAAAACAACAACAACAAAAATAATCAGTGTCAAACGTTGCTTATTGTGACGCGTAAAAATATAATTTTTTTAGCGTGAAGTTTTTCGCATATTTTAAAGTGGCAGTACTTTTTTGTGCAATTTTTTCAAATAATTATTTATGCGTGGTTTAGTTTCAATGTTTTCTAATTTCTTTACTAAGTTTCCAAGCTGTAGTGAAGATTGATAATTTTCTATATATTTAAATAATAAATATTCCAAAAGTAATTGAGAAAACATTAAGATTTTTACTGGATCAGATCTTTCGAATGTGACTTCATCTAATCTGGTGTTTATATGCAAACTAATAAGGAATACATATTTCTACTTTTAGATTTCGTAAGCACTTTCTGCACAAGTCTGCACAATTTTTTGATTTTCATTAATAAACATGGCAGTCATCCGAAGCGCACTTTTTTACGAGTGGATAAAAAGCCAAAAAAATATGATAATAATGGTGCTGTAATGAAATATATTTTGGATAAGGTGGGAGGGGCCTTGATCATGAATAATTAAAAGAGTTTATCGGTAAGATCTGTTGTCAATTTCGTTTAAAATCGGGCCGCTGCTTTCGTATGAATTCCCGTTTTCTGCAGCTGCACTCCAAACTAGTTGTCGCAAGGTGTGGATTTATCCGACTTTTTTCTTGACGTAACACCGTATTGACGTTACATCAATATCATAGGTACATCCATTTAATAGTTACGACTTTTGGCACGCTAAAATTGAAAAAGGGCACACTGTGCGTCGCACATAGGGGTATTGACAAAAGGGGTTTTGGGGTTTGACAAAATTTTGGAGAAAACTTAAAAAATTAGTCACTTTCGATAGAGAACATTCCAATTAACATTTCCCAACCCCCTCACTTTTCTAACTTGCACAGCGAACGCTCACCGTTGACCGGAAACAGAATATTCTAATGCTGCTTGTAAATAAATTTTCGCTCTCTAGAAAGATCGTCACGGTTTTAAGTTAATATTTTGATTTCTGCATTACATTCTTAAAAAGTAGTGATGGATCCGCATACAGATGGTAATAATGCATTTAAGGGTAATTTTTTTAACCATTTTATTAAGAAAAAGTTCAATTTAAATGTAACGAAAATAGCGGTTTTCAACGAGTATTTTTTTTAATTTTTGTGAATATTAAGGAATTTATTGTATCCCCGGGAGAGATCGCGTTATTATTCTTTGTTCAATTGAAAGCTTAGAAATTTGGCTAATAAAGTGTGAAAAGACTGCCCGCAGAAAATGGCAGACAAGTGGTATTTCTTAACTTAGAAATTGTATTAAGGAAAAATATAAAAACGCAACTAGTATATAGTAACACTACTCTAGATATGATTTAACACTAAAATTAAACTTTTTAGATGAATTTGAGGCCGCTGAACTAGAATATGAATCCATTTAATTTAAAAAAATAAATAGTTTTCGAGATATAAGCAAAAGTCATGTTTTCTAGGACCTTTCGGTCCTGTTGCTAGAAATCTGGAATTTCGGAATAAACATTTGTTTTCCTTTACATTGGTGTTATATAAGTGATGATTAAAGAAATAGTTTTGGGTATACAAGCGTTTAGATTTAGATAAATGTCAACTTATATAAATCTACGATATTTCAGTAAATATTGTATCCAAATTGTTAAAAATTAGTATGTAAAGTAAAATTTTGGAACAAAATATGATTATTATTAAATTTTTAGAAAATGGGTGTGGTCCCGCCCACTTATGACGAAATGCTGTATCTCAGTATCTGCTTCACTAATGCGTACCAAACTCGGTATGAGCCTTGCTTAGGCTATATCTAACATAACTGCTAAAAATTCTTGAAATCGGGCGATAACTACGCCCACTTCCCATATAACGGTAATTTAGAGAAACGCGAAAACTGCGATAAATCAATAACTACTGAAGCTAATTCAGTCTAAATCGATCCTTGGAATAACCTCTTAGCATTAAATAAAATTGTTATGACTTTTTGTGTAATGGGCGTGGCTCCGCGCACTTTTGACCACAAATGTATACCTCGGTTACCGATTTATCAATTTGTACCAAACTCGGTGCACTTGGTATGGAAAGAAATGCGTTGAAAATACGAAAACTCCGATATTTCAGTAATTGAGGACGCTAATTTACTCCAAGTTAATACTTACAAAATTCTCTTAACAATAAATAAGACAGTTATTATTACAAAAATGTAGTTTTATTACATTGGGTGCGTTCGGGCTACTAATAATAATTACCACAATATTGCAGACTTGTTGCTTTCCTGGTAACATGTTGCTGATGCTCAACTTAAACTTTTCTAAAATGTTGCAGAAATTGCGCAGTAAAAATTTGTATGTTGCTTTTGATTTGCCAATGATGAGTAACTGATTGTCTAAATTTTGTTCGCCCAAATTTTTGCGTAGAACGTGATACTCTTTCATAAAAGAGTACCACTGCCGCATTAATTGCACCTCGAATATACCCATTTCTTAGCTATACTGTGATACATATTTGAATTATTTAATTCCTTTAATTAAAGTTGAATTTGATTTTTATAACCCTGGAAGGTCCCTCAGAGATAAAGCCTTTTCAAACCCATTTCTATTGATACAAATATTGCAGCAATTTATTCAACTAATTGAACAAAATTGTTAACAGGTGGCAGGTGGTCTTTTCTAAACATTTCGAGTTGAAATATTCATAAAAATAATTTTGGCCGCATAAATCGGCTAAATACCACTATGTGCGTAGTGATGGCAAACAAAATTTTGTAATCGATTAATCGGTTAATTGATTAATCGAAAGCATTCGATTAATAATTGCAAATAATCGTAAGAAATTAACCGATTAATCTGTCATTTCGATTAAAATCGAAAATTAATAAAAACCACTTATAAGTTATAAAAACTGGCTTACATACCGTGTAAAAATTACGCACGACAAGATTTTTATTGTTTAATTTTAGTTATTTTTTTAAATATAGCTTATTCTTTAGGAAAAGAAACGTATAAATATAAATATATCGAACTTTGGGCAATATTAAAAAAAAAATCAACAAAAAATTCCAGCTTTTTAATTAGATTTCTTAGAAAGGTTTTCAGTATGCAAAATTCCAAGACTGAAGTATCTGGTATTTTTCTGTTTGGTAATGGTGTTGCTTAATTTCTTCCATATAAAAAAGAAGAAAATGAGCAACACCGAATTCGGAAAAAAAATAAAATATGTGAATACCTGGGTTGTGGTTTTTTAGTAGCTACTTAGGTTAAGCTTGTGTTGCGGTTTTTGGTGGAAATATCGTTTAAAAAATTTTCGATTATTTTGAAAAATTAATCGGTTAATCGCTCGATTAATCGAAAGGAAAGTTTCGATTCAATTAAATCATTAATCGTGCCATCACTATATGTGCGTCGGTTCGAAACCTACTGAAAAAGTCTGATGAGGAAACGTGGTGATTATCGAAATAGCTATCAGTTATACAATTTTTTCAAACAAAAAAAAAATATAAAAATTATTGTTGCTTGTCCACAATAGTTTTTTCATTTAAATCGGCCTCGAGCTCAATAAAAAATGTTGAACAAAAAAAAAGTTATGGAGAATTTGTATGTATATTTCCCTCCAACAGGATGAAGGGGGGTTGGAGGTTTAAATATCTTATCGCCTGAAACAGAAATACTTGATACTTACGAACTGACACTAAGCCAAATATTAATAAACAAGAAGCAATCATTTTAAAACTGTTTTCATTGCAGAATGTGTTTACAACTAATACTTTATCGCGATAAACGTAGTTTTTGGTATATAATTTTATTCATGTACATATATATTTGTCGAGCTGTAATACATACATATGTATGTATATATAGCACATATCTATATTCTACACATATAAAACAAACATAGCCGATATTGCAGCAAGAAATGCTAGAAAAGTAGATGCATATAATATGGCACAAGTCGTTTGCATCCAAGATATTAACGGGCCTATCGACAGTGAGATTACCAGCTGCGCTATGAACACCATGCTGCTAATGATCGCCACATCTGTACCCAAACCACGGGCCTGTTTGAGAGGAACTGATTCGCCATTATGCATGCGGAACTACAAAAATATAAACAACAATTAAAAGAATAAAGTTTGCAAATGATCGTAAGACTTAAATATAAGCAGAATGTACTGTAAAACACTTACACAATCCTTAGCATGATAATTAGCGACCAATATGTACGGGATTGTGAAAAGCGTGCCGTACAATATTCCTGCCGAAGTGCTGAAAACTATTACTCCCCATTTGGTGGGCCAGATGGCTAGTATCAACATCCCAATTCCATAGTATAATATGCCAGTAATATAAACAATTTTGGTCCTGCAATGAAAAAACAAAAAAGTTAATTCGATCAAATACAGTTATATATATTTGCCATAAATATGGCAGTTAGTCAATAGTTGCTCTCACCCTAATACCTTCCTCAGTTTGGTCACTGAAATTGAATAAATGGAGCAGGAAAGAGCATACACCGACATTCCCCAACAACCAAAGCGAATTCCAGCTTCATACAAGTTAGCTGCCGCCGTTCCAGGTAGGGCCTGTTAAAAAAATATCACTTTGGAACATTTATATATGAAAAAGCAATAAACATAAATACAGAATAAAGTATTTGTTTAATTGTTGTGCTTGGACAAAGATCAAAATAAATACAAATTAAAACACAAATAAAAATACAAGTATAATTAAAAATGTCAATACATATTCAATCTAGGTGCTCATTTGAATTAGCGTTTCATCCTAAGACATAAGATTACAAAAATTGCATCAAAAAATCTTCAAAATGAAGATATTCACTCATGCTGTAAAATGCATACATATATATCGCCGGTTTATACGAAAAAATAAAAAAATTAAATCCAAGTTTTTCTAAGTGGTTAATAAAATAAGAAAAATCGCCACACCTAACGGCTAAATTTTTTGTTGAGTCGTCTCTTTCCTTTTAAGTATTAATAATAATAGATTGGCGCTTACACATATGTTAGTGTTTGGCCGAGCTTCTCCTCCAACTTGTGGCGTGCGCCTTGATATTGTCACACAAAGCGGAGGGACCTACAGTTTTACGCCGACTCCGAACGGCGATTGTATTTTTATGAGAAGCTGTTTTTCATGACAGAAATACACTCGGAGGTTTGCCATTGCCTGCCGAGGGACGACCGCTGTTAAGAAAGACCTTTTTTTCTAAATTTTTTGCGATGTTGCTTTGACCAGGGCTTGAACCCAGGTGCTGGTGAGTGAAAGCGCGCACTGCTTACCACTACACCACAGCGGCCGACAAAGTATTAAGTATTTAAGTATTATACGATCTAAATATACAACAAATCGACCATAAGTACCTACTGATTTTCCAAATATCTCGGCTTCTGCGCCTTCAATGGGGCAAAATTTTGGAGTTATTCCCTTTTATGTAAGCAAAAGTTGACTCCGAAAAAAATTCGGAAAAAAACTTCGGCACCTCAGTCAGACTCAGGGAGTAAGAAATATGGGGAACACGCCAATTCAGGCACGGGACGATCATCAACGAAATATAATCACGATAAAAGACCTACCATATAATATCTACCGTCAGGTTCGAAAAGATACAGGTGAGAGTTCCAGAGACAATCTCTCTTTACACCCATCGCTCAAAGATGGACTGGAGGATCTCAGTGTCTCATTGTCTATCTGTCTAGGGAATGAGGCAGGCATCTTCCAAGCGGAAGTCTTAGGCGTCTTTGAAGCTAAGGTAAAAATGCTTCGGTAGAATTAAGAAAGCAACAATATACTCTGACAGCCAAGCGATCACTATATCCCAGCTATTCCAGGAAGGTAAACGGAATTATGATCAGTGTCTGCGCCAATAAGTCTAGGTTACCGGTCATAGGAACATTGAAGCCAATGAATTGGCGGAGGACGGACCCTACTTCTAAGAATCCTATTCTGTTGCACTGAGATGTTGTCGTGTTCCTTTGTGAATGCCTAGGTCTAGCAGTTATTAGGCACAGAGCACTAAGAAGAAAAATACAAACAAAACTAGTAGATATATCTGGAGCTAGCAGAGGTGACATCGGAGAATCAAGATGTTTTGAGCAAGAAAACTAGATATGCATAGGTATTTTTGAAAGTGCATCAAAATGGCATAAAATGCGCTAATTGTACCATAATAGCACTATGAAGCACTGCAACCAACCAACTAAATAAGACGGACTTTAGGACCTAAACACCTACAAAAAATTGCTAGACAAAATAGCGAAATAAACATTAATCTCTATAGTTGTAGTAACATTGAACCACAAGATGTCTTTAAGCGACTTACATATCGTCGTTTAAAGTACAAAACCGCGTATCGTCATTCTGCAAAACCGCGTAACTGACATTGGCTGCCAAAAATTGGATTTGCTCACACAAGCTCTTGGCTCAGTCCTTATCCATTCGTCCTGAAATATGCTAGCCAGAAATGCGATTGCTTTATAAAAAAAGAGGACCATTTAGAAATATTAGTGTTTTTACGCTCTAGAAAAAAAGTTTTACAACTTCACATACGCGGTTTTGCATTTTGTTGATACGCGGTTTTGCACTTTAAACGACGATATGTATTTCCCGCGTAAACAAAGGACAGCGAACACCCACACGCATTTATATTGCATTTCCCGCATTAACCAAGTGCAGAGAACACACACACGCACTTGTATTGCACTCCCGCCCAAAACTAAGAGAAGCGAACAAACACATGCACTTGTGTTTAAAAATAATTCGCTCGTTCTTCATTGGGTATGCATTTTTTTATGCACTTCTCAACTGCCGCAGAACAACGCCTACTAACTACGCTTGATGCATCACAACTCCTCCGGAGTTGTCTCACGGGGTTCTGTATGGCTTTCGGCATACAGAGGTGGTACAAGAGTTAAGAGCGAAATACACCACACAAGCGGCTTGTCAAACATACTTTTCCCATTTTGCCATAGACCATGCAAACATGAGTCGTTCAAGCACAGAATTTTAGTTTTCTTTCGGTTAACAATGTAAAACATTTTAGTTTTCTACCATTATTCTCCCTTACGTCTTCACTTGGTGAAATTTCAGTTGCAATTGAGGCGATTTTACCATCCACATCGCAAGCGGTTTGATCAAACGTCAACATGGCGGCCAGAAAATCAAAAAAATTTGATTTTTGCTCAAATTTCCCTCAAGCGGTTTGTCAAACCTTCAAACACCCCATAGACAGCACAAATGGCTTGAAGCAAAGGGAAATTTCGCTTGGTTTGTCAAGCCGCTTGTGTTGTGTATTTCGCTCTTTACCATTGGTCACAGCGCCTACCCTATTTTCTAACTTGGATACATAACCGATGCTCAACACTCCCGCTTGACGCACACTCCCAAAAACTCTTACAGAGTTTTTAAGCGGCAAAGCCACAGCGCACCGACGCTCCAGCTCTGAAAGTATTCAACTCGGAACCCGCTGGTAGTAGCAGAGGAAGAGGGAGGAGAAGAAGAAGAAAGCCACAGCGCTATAAGCCGTAGGGACTCTGCATGACTTACAACCATGCAGAGGTGGTAACTGATGGTTGTCATTGGCCCCGCCGCCTACTCAAAACATTTTTAATTGAATACATTTTTATGTTAATAAATTCATCCTAGTCCTGCCCTCTCCCTGAGTTAATCAAGATGCATTTTGAAATTTTCTGGCAGCATATTCATTCGATTTTCGCGAAGAAAGCTTTGAATGTACTAAGTGTGCGCTCGACGTGAGTTGATACAAATGGCGCCCAATTTAAACATGGAACGTTTAAAACTTTCTTTCCGGTGACGGGTAATAAGATCAACGGAAATAAGGTCAGTTGACTTTATTTCCCACCATGGTGAATTTACTGAGTTTAGTAAATTCGTTGATATTCTGAAAATGAGGAGTATTGGATAAAACTCATTAAATTCAACAGACGACTTTTCGGTGACAAATAAAGATTTTTTAAAGCTTTAAAATTAATTTTGGAGAGGAGGAGTAGTACTTTTGGATAACGAGAGGATCTTTCTGAAAAAAATAAATAAATTTCATCGTGTTACAGGAGCTCAAATGTGCCCAAAAACCGTGATTTTTGTATTTTTAGGTTAGAATATCTCGAAAACCTGACGTGATTGGGCTATTCTGTGATCAGACTCGAATTCAGCACGTCAAACGCCTTCGGAAAAGTATAGTCCGATTCTTGGTTAGAAAACCTTGTTGCCCGGTGTTATTTTTCGATTGATTTTGTATACAACTCTAATTCCTAATTTAATAAACACAATATATGTACACAAATCGGCATTTCAAATTGTGTACAAAAATTATAAAAATTCAGCAGGTTTTCGCAACAACAAACTTTAGATTCAGAATTTTTAGGGTGATTCCAGGTTTTCGATTTTATGCATTTTTTCCATGTAAAGGGTGTTCGAATATTTTTTAAATGAATGAAAATGTATGACACTGTCAGAAAAAAATATCAAAAATCATAGGGATATTGCAGAAACTTGCACTTTTATTTAATGGACTATAAAACTACAAACTTAGAATCTTCCTAAAAGTTCTGAATTAAAAGCTTGTTGTTGCGACAATTTACTTCATTCTACATTACTATTCACAATAGAATTCAGCGGTTTGTAAATATTTCTCACGGCCTTATTTTAAATTTTTTTTGCTTTTAGTTTTCACTTTTTGTAATTATTTAATCTACAATGTGGTATGTGATTTTTAGTTATATATAGGTATTTTATGCTAAATTTCTATATTTTATAATTGTGCCAAAACAGGATGAATTGTGCCAAAAGTGCCTTTAAAAATGGAAAGTGCCCAAAATGGCCCTATTGTGTCTACTACGTGCGTGGCTACGCGGATTCTGCAGAAATTTACAATGTTCTTATTTTTCGCCTAAAAATTATTGTAAATATCAATTTTGAGTAAATCAGCTACAGTAGTTACTAAAATATCGCAGTTTTCGTCTTTCTTAAAACTACCGTTATACGGGAGGTAGGCGTGGTTATTGTCCGATTTTGCCCATTTTCATTATCATTCATCCTACGCCCGAAAGAAGTACACTTACCAAGTTTCACTAAGATGTCTCGAGTTTTACTCAAGCTATCGTGTGCACAGACGGACGGACGGACAGACAGTCACCGCTTAATCGATTTCTCTTTTCATTCTGATCATTTATGTATACATTTGTCTATATCTATCTCGATTCGTTTTGCCTGTTACAAACAACCGTTATACACAAGTGCGCTTGGGTATGAAAATCGACTTTGCAAACTGACCCAAAAAATAATATAAAATGATCAATTTTTATTCAAACTTCAAGATCATTTTTTTTTTTGCATTGCATTTCATTGATAAAATAAAACTTTTAACTATGTTTTTAGTTTACCATGTAAAATCTGCCACAAATTGGTTAGAAATCATATTTGTTGTCCAGCTTGACATTTTTTCAACTATAAGTGACAATACAAAAATATTATTTTTAAATTAGGGATTTGAAAAACAATTAAAGTGGTTTAAAAATATTTGTACCAAAAGATCTTCAAGATCTGCTGCAACTTCTTTTCCCGTTTTTTTACGGTTTGCAA